GCTAAAATAGCTAGCGCTTACTAGATGCCTAGGCTAGACTTGAACAAGGCCAGCGTGACGTAGGGTCTAGCACTATTATCTGTTAAGATATATATATTATACTATGCGAGGATTACTTAGCTTAAGTATTCTCGTGCGTACCTTTTGGACCATAGCCAAATTGGTACAGACAGGGGAGATGACGTAGTATTCATTTTATAGGCAGGGCGCCTACCTTGTTACAGACCTCTTGTAACACGTTGTTATCTATAATAACTATGTTACCTAGTATTATTAAAGACTATAACTATAACTGCGACTATAACTATATAGACTATATTAACGCCCTATTATATAGTAATTAGTTCTAAGTAGCCTGCTTTAGAATTATAAAACCCTACTAAGAACTTTTTATATCTTAACTAATATTACTACCTATAGACTTATATTACCCCTTAGAGTTAAATAGCTAATATAGTAGCATAACAACTAATAGACTAGTATAGCTAATAGCTCTCCCCCCTTAACTAAGTTATTGCTATATATCCCCTAGACTTTTAGTTATTAGGATCTTCTATATAATAACTTGCTTAACATCTCTAAAATTAATCCTAAGGCCTAAAGCAGTTGTAGCAAATATAATCCTAATATTAGAAGAGGACTTTAAAAACTCCTAGTAAGTGGCATCCTAGTTATATAAGGCTACCTAAGTAGTATATATACTAATAATATTAAGGACACTATACCTAGTAGTAGTTAGATAAGGGCTATACTAATTACTTAACTATAATAGTATATCTATAGCCTAAGCTGCGGCTAAGTAGATAGACGTAATCCTATTAATAAAGATAATTGTCTTAGGTATCTATTGCGGCGTTGCTACTCCTTTATAGATAGCGTCTACTAATAGGAAATATAGGCTATCCTAAGACGTTAACTTTCCTTAAGGGATAGGTACTACTACTAGTAATATATCTAGTTAGTCTACTAACGTCTAAATAATAGCAGTTTAATATATAGCGTTACTAATAGATTAGAAACCTATAGTTAGTAATACCTTCTACTTCTCTTTATTATTAAGGGTAGCAGAGCACCTAAACTATATAATATCTAGATGCAATATAGTCTATAGCTAGCTAAATAATATAAACGCTAGGCAAAAGGTCTCCTATTATAATACTAGATAGCACTTGTTAATAGTAATAAGACTAACCCGCTCCTAGAATAAAGGATCCCTTAATACCTAATAGAAAGCTTAACTAGAAGCCTATTCTAGTCCTATTAAAATATGCGTAAAGTTACTATGCTAGACCTTTAATAAAATATAACGCTCTATAGAATAAGTCCTTATATTAACTAGGTAAGGTATAGCTCTAGGAAACACGCTAATATTAATAAGTTACTTATCTCTAAGCTTTAACAAAGGTATTAGCTATAGGGTAACCTTGCGTATTAAGATTAAATAGGCGTAGAAGATTAAGCTCTTGCTAAAACTAGTGCAGGCAATTAATAACACGTCGCCCCTACTATATATTAACCTCTGCAATATCTAGACTTATTAATCCTAAGGAAAGCGTAGGCAAGATCTATTATATAATAGTATTGCCTATAGAGATATATAGATAACCTCCTCTTGCATACTAATATTTATAGGTTAATAAGCAAAGTTAATAATATATAGTAGGTTAACTAGAGGTATACTAGGAATATTATTAATAAATTGCCGTAGTAAGTTATTATTATCCTAGCAAGTTTCTATCTAAGCTATAGCTACGCGGTTTGCAGTAGCAATAGCAATCTTACTCTGCTTTGTCCTTAGGTCTCCCTTCCTCCTACTTACTACTTTTCCCTTCTTCTAGCCTATAGTAGCAAGCAACTTAAACCCTAGTTAGCCTAGGAGTTTATAAGAGTTTATAGGAATTTATAGGAGTTTATAGGAGTTTATAGGAGTTTATAGGAGTTCCTAGGAGTTTATAGGAGTTCCTAGGAGTTCCTAGGAGTTTATAGGAGTTTATAGGAGTTCCTAGGAGTTTATAGGAGTTCCTAGGAGTTTATAGGAGTTTATAGGAGTTCCTAAGAGTTCCTAGGAGTTTATAAGAGTTTATAGGAGTTCCTAGGAGTTCCTAGGAGTTTATAGGAGTTTATTAATAGCCTAGTAATAACCCTATATCTAACTATAATAAGCTATAGTTAGATAAGGAGTTTATAAGTAACCCTAAAGTTCTTATATCTTTAGTAGGGCTAACTATTATAATACTAATTATAGCAGGTCTAGCTAGTATAATTATATCTAGCGCTAACTAATAATAACTAAATATCTACTACTATAACACACTATTAGGCTTAAACTTCTAGAGGTGTATCTTAAAGTGTGAAGGACTTAGGCTATGCCCAAGCCTAGGTCTAACACAAGACGGACCAAGTCTAACACTACTACTAAGCGAACACACTAGACACCTATAAAAAGGCGTGGAGGGCTTATCTCTCCTTTAAGATACTAAATACTATTATTAACGCTTATTATATTTTCCCCTTAAGGCTAGTCTATAATATTTTAGTATCTTCTTCTAAATATACTATAATAGTAATAAGAGATAGACGCGCTAGATATTTAGAATAACTAGGTGCAACCTAATATAGTAGAAAGGCTAATACAACAGGTCTATAGATTAATAGAATAATAGGCTTAAGACTCTACTATAATAGCTATACTACGTTAATAGAATAAGGAAATACGCAATTAGATTCTATCCTAACCCTCCTCTAAGCCCGCCAGGTTTAATAACATGCTACCTCCGCCCTCTCCTGCCTTACGCTGCAAACCTTTCCTAGTTAGCTTGCTATATAATAGCACTAAGGCAAACTTCTCCTCTTAGCAAATAACTATAGAATTTAAACTGCGTACAGACAAGGTCTTTATTAGGGATAAGGAGGCAAGGTTTATATATATTTAGTCCTAGTTATTACCTATAGTCTAGCGCGCTATAGCACTATACTTTAAGGATAGTGCACGCAAGCGTTAGGATATAAGCAGGTTTCTTAACTACCTAGTGTTCTATTATAGTAACTATTATAGGCAGGAGCACGCCTAAGTTGCGTTAGAACACTTATATTAGGGCTAAAATTAGCCTTTTATAGAGTTCTTTATAAATTTTGTGCAGCTCCTTATATAGTTAGGAGGTTTACACTAGGATAATAAATAGAAGCTTTTATAACTTTAGTAATCTCTTAATAGTTATATACGCTTAGTTTCCCTTAATAAGGGAGTCTCTAGGATAAACTACAACGCAGCTATAGAGGAATACAAGATAATTATAGTAGATATTAAAATAGCCTCTCTAGAGCTAGGCTTTCTTTAGGCTAGTAAGTCTAAGGAGCCCTAGTAGAAGTCTAACTTAGATTAGGACAGCAATATAAATATAGTAGAAGTAGTAGCCTTATTAAGTGCACCTACTAAACTACTAATATCACGTCCTAACTAGATCCTACAGGACCTGTTTAATGCATAGAAACTAGCAAAGGTCTACACCTAGTGTAGATAGGGCAGTTATTTTATACGTGCATGCCCTAATGCCCTATTGCTATAACTAGTAGGTGTTAAGATAGTTATAGTATTAGCAAGTAGTACTAATTTAGGAAACTAGCTACCCCTAACCTTAGGCTAAGTTAGGGGTATAAGGAGGACACTATAATAGAGGAATTATTAATAGTAGAGGCTATTAAGTATCCCCTAGATATTAAGGCTAGGTTAAATAATCCTCCTTTCTTTATTCCCCTCCTCCTAGGTAGAGTAGAGAACGTGTAAGCAATAGTTAATTTAGGGTGCTAGTGTTTTAGTATAGTTAAGGAAAAGTTAGCAAGATAGATTAGTAGGAACTTTATTAATATTCCCCCGCAACCCTTATAACATACCTAGGGAATTACTAAGGGTACAAGAATTTTATAGTTAGTAGTATTAGACTATAATTTAGATAGTTAGTAGTCTTAGCTTTTAGCTTATATAGTACCTAGTCTCTCCTATTAACTAATACTAGGCAGACTATAGCTGTGCAGAGAGGGCGTTATTATAGATATTCTATAAGGCAAATTAATTATTAGGAAGGCAGGAAATATAGTAGTACAAGAAAGCGGGAGACGCCTATATCCTACTTATATCTCTACTATCTTAGGTTTAGTTATAGTAGGGTTGCTAAATTAAGGATCCTAATAGGAAGATATATAGGTACAAATTTTTATAACAAATATACTAGATATTTTATAGGTAATATATAACTTACGCCTAATAAAATATCTAGGAAGTGTTAATAAGGGAGGTCCTAATAATATACACACTATCTATATTGCTAGTAATATAGTTCCCTATAAACCTAAGTATAAAACTAGAAAGATAAAGTTACTACTAGAACTATAAGAGTTTAAGGACCTGTTTAATAAAGAGTTAGTAAGTAGTTTGCTACCTTATTAAGGTAGTATAGATTACTATATTTAGTTAATAACTCTCCTAGATAGAACCTAGCCTAACCCCCTATAGGGTCCCCTATACCCTATATTGTGTAACTAATTACTAGAACTAAGAACATAACTTACTAGATTAATAGATAAGGGCTAGATCTAAGCAAGCTCTTCTATAGCTAGAGCTCTAGTATTACTAGTAAAGAAGCTATTAGGCAGTTAGCGTCTATATATAGACTACTAGATGCTTAACAGTATAATAACCTTAGACTAATACCTACTACTACTTATTAAGGAAACTTTACGCATACTATCTAGTATAAATTAGTTTATAAAAGTAGATATTTGCGCTGCCTTTTATAAAGTTAGAATAGTAGAAGGTTATAAGTCCTTAACTACTTTCTGCACCTAGTTTAGGTTATATAAATAGTTAGTATATCTATTTAGTCTTAGTAGGGCGCTATCTACTTTCTAATAATATATTAATACTGCGCTTATAGAGTTACTAGGATTATATACAATAGCCTACCTTAATAATATCTTAATTTATTTAGGAGGAGACTAGTTTAACTATATAGAAAAAGTAAAGCGTGTACTTATACTATTAAAAGAAGCAGGACTATACCTAGACTTAGAGAAATATACTTTTAGTGTTAAGGAGGTATGCTACCTAGGCTATATTATTAAGGCGGGCAAATTACTTAGACCTAACCCTAAAAAGCTTAGGGTAGTATAGGAATAGGAATCCCCTAGGAATATAAGAGAGGTAAGGAGTTTTCTAGGTTTTGCTAACTTCTACTATAATTTTATCACAAAGTTTTCTAAAGTAGTAGCACCTTTAAACTAACTAACTAGGAAGAATACCCTATTCTAATAGGGAGAGGAAGAATAAAGTGTATTTAATACACTAAAAAAGGTGTTTATATTAGGACTAGTATTAATATAATAGGACCTAGCTAAAGAAATATTATTAGAAGCAGACTATTTAGGATATACTCTTAGGGGTTGCTTGTCGCAAAAAGTTAGGGGCGTCTAGCGCCTAGTTACTTACTACTCTATAGTACTAACGCTAGAGAGACAAAACTATACTATACATAATAAGGAATTACTTACTATTATAGAGTGTCTTAAAAGTTAGTTAGTAGAGTTATAGAGCATTTATAAGCTATTTACAATATTTATAGACTATAAAAACTTAGAGTACTTTACTAGCCTTTAAAGCTTAAGTAAGTAATAGTACTACTAGGCAGAGGAACTTTTAAAATATTAGTACATCCTATAGTATAGGCCTAGCTATCTTGTAGGATAACCTAATACCTTAAGCAGATAACTATAGGATTTAAACTCCTCTAAAGCAACACTATAGTTAGTAATACGCCCTAAATTAATTTAGGTTATAGTGTTAGAAGTAGAGAAGGTATCTAAGTTACTAAAGGGCGCTAGCCTCTTCGCTAACCTGCATATACAGACACTATAGGACAAAGCAGTACTAGAAGATAAGATATACTAAGTATGTCTTAATGCAGTCTAGAAAGGCGCTAGGTCTTTCCTAGTTTTAGCTAACACAAAGCAATAGATTAGGGACTATATAATTAGCGCACACAGCACTTTGCTCTAGAGGGGTGTTATTTAGTTACTAATATAGGAACCCCTTATAACTACTATTATATAGTAAGTATATAAATTAGGTTTAGTAGGATATCTAGGAAAGAATATAATATTTTAAATACTACGCCGTAACTATTATTAGGATAGAATATTAGGAGATATTACGTAGTATATTTAAAACTACTATTATTATAGTGCTTATATCTCCTAGAAGCGCTAATAGGGTCTATTATAACCTATACTAGTCGCGTTATAATACTAGTCCTAAATATCTATAGATTTTATAGTTAACCTACTTGCAAAAGATAATACTAAACCCTAGTCCCTATTAGTTATTACTAATAGATTATCTAAATATATTTAGCTTAAAGCAACAGTCTCTATAGTAGCTAATTATTATATAAGGATCTTCTAGGATAACTAGTAGTAGTTCTAGGGCTTCCTATCCTCTATTATTACTAACTAAGGTTTAGACTAGTTAGGATCCTTCTAGATAATATTATACTAGATAATAAAGATAAACTAGTTACTATCTACTATATATCACCCCTAGATAGATAGCAGGATAGAGCGGGTAAACTAAGAAGTACAGGTGGTGCTGCGTATAATAGTATGCTTTAAGCAGACTAACTAGCCTAATTACCTACTAGCCTGCTAACTTGCACTTAATAATAGGGACTCTAGTATAACTAGTGTTAGCCTAAATCTACTTTTAAATAGGTATACTATAGACACGCTATAGAAGACAATATTACTACTAGTAAAGCCTAAGAATCCTTATAGAGAGGCTGTAACGTTCTTATCACACCTGTAGAGGGGTGTAGAGCTAGCATAAGCTACTATTATATTCTAATAGTAATAATAATAGGAAGTAATAAACTAGTCCTAATATCTAGCTAAAAAGTTCCTAAAAGGTAATATAGTTTAGTTTATAATACGTAATATAAAGATAAACTAACTAAGTAAAAAGTTTAACTAGCTATAGGTAAAGTATAAAGTAATAGAAGTCCCTACTCTACTTATAATAGTATTAGACTTACTAGGGAGCTTATATAAGACTGTGCATGTAGATCTGCTAGAGAGAGCTGCTAATAACCTGCTACTAAGCTAGAAGCTTTAGGACTTATAACTAGGTCTAACAGTTACTCTAGAACATTTAGATATAACGCTAGATAAATAGGAAGTAGAAGAGATCCTTTATACAAAGAATATAAGAGGAAAAGGGAAGCGTTAAGTCCTAGTAAAATAGAAGGGGTATATTAATCTAATATAGCACCTGCTAGAGGTAGTGTAGGATACTAAGGCTCTAGATAGGTTTAAGGAATAGTATAGGGATGCTATATATAATAATAGCCTAATACGTATAAAAACTAGGAAGTAAGGGTAAAAGGAAACTAGAATAATAACTTAGACCTTTGTTATAATTAAGAAGTAGAAAGGTATAGGAGAAATCTTTTAATTATACTTATAACACTCTAAGTAAGTGCCCTACTACTAAAGTCTTATAATATAGCTAATAACTAAATAGTAGTATCTATACTATTATTAGCTACGCCTAAACCCCTATTACCTTCTTCTTAATTATTATTTATATTATTATAACGCTTTTATATTTCTTAGTAGTAGTAGCAACACTTATATATAGCATAGGTAGGGGAAGACTTAGTTAATAAGTATAAATAATAGTAGTAGTAGTAGCAGGATAAAGGTAGTGCTTTAATAGTCTACTAATATATAGCACCCTAGGCCTAAAGAAAATAAATATTAGAATAAATATAAGGAAATAGGAGAAAATTAATACTAATAATAAGAGTCTTAATACTACAGGTAGTGCGCTTAGCAGCGCTCTTAAGCCTATTAATACAAAGGTTAGTTTAGGCCTAAGTCTTGTTTATACGCTAGTTAATACGCTAGAAGGTAATACTAGTAGTAGTAGCAAGCTATATAATATTATTATTACTATAACTACTATATAAGGGCGTAATAGTAGATTATAGTAGAAACGCTAGAGTACTAGTAGTAGAGGGAATAATAGCACTAAGCTAGTACTAATTATAGGCGCGTAAGTAGGCAGAGGGGGCAAGTAGAGTAATAGTATTATTAGTTTAGGCCCTTAATATAAGATCCTTAAACTAATAGCAGAGCTAGTAGAATTGTAGCACAAACTAGTAGTAAGTGCCTTTAGTAGGTTTTCCTATAAAGGTCCTAAGGGTCCCTTTCTTTATAATATAGAGGTGATCCTCCTAGTAACTATAATAAAACTAAAGCTAGTTATAGAGGGCTTAGCGGACGTCAGGATTATTAGTAAGTATAGCCTCTAACCTAGTGTAGGTCTTATAACTATAATAATAAGACTTGCATAAATGCCCTAGATATAGTTAGAACTTACTATAAAGAATATAAAAATTAGGAAGAACTTACTACTACCCTCCTAATAGTTACACTTACTAAAGAGATAGAGTTAGTTAATATACTAATTATAGGGAAGTAGCTTTATAAAACTGCTATTATACTCCTTATTATCTAAGTTACTAGAAATAATAAAGCTGCTAAGTAGCTAGGTTTAGGGAGATATATACTAAGTAAAAAGTTAGTGCAGGAAATATTAGGAGAATATAGGAAGTGCGCACCTTATCTTAGTAGGCCTAGTATAGGGTCCTACTACCTTATAGTAGTTCCCTACTACTAGCACTAGTAGTAGTAGATAGAGATATAATAGAGGCTATATAGGCTAGATTAATAGAAAAAGAGTAGAGATAAGACTAATTAGTTAGGAAAATCTACTATATAATAAAGTAAGTTTAGGAAATTTATAGTAGGGTAGGATAGCTATATTAGAACTTTTATAGTAGGGTACTAAAATAAGCGCATAGACGCTATACGCGTGTACTACTTAATATATAGGCCTATTATAAATTAGGAAGGAATATAAAGATATAATAATAAAACTAAAAAATATAGTAATAAAGCCTAATATAGATTATAGAGGATAAAGATATAACCCTAGACCCCTATAAAGATAATTTTACAATAGTTTATAGGGGAAGGTTAGGGGTATGTAAAGGACTTAGGCTATACCTAAGCCTAGGTCTAACACAAGACAGACCAAGTCTAACACCACTACTAAGTGAACACACTAGACACCTATAAAAAGGCGTAGAGGGCTTATCTCTCCTTTAAGATACTAAATACTATTATTAACGCTTATTGCATTTTCCCCTTAAGGCCAGTCTATAACAAAAGCGTGTAGGAAATAGCTCTAATAGTTACTAGGCTTATAGAGGATATGGTAGTAGTATAGTAGGTAGGTTATTAATAGCTATAAAACTTTTAGACTTAGGACTTTAAATTACACGTATAGGTGCTATAGTTTACTACGCCTACTTTGCGTGTGTTAAATAAAATTTATACTATTAGATTTAGAATCTTACCTACTTTAAAATAAAAACTTTTAGTAATAATAGTAGTACTATAGTTAATAATATTAATAAAAATATACAAAGAGTAAGGTTTATAAAATTAGAGTACTACTAAAACGTGTCCTATTTTTCCTTAGACGCTCTGCTAACGCTTTACACATGATTATATAAGCAGGATCTTATTAGCTTAGGAGTTCTTAGTTTGACGCTAGCCTTTAGTGCGAAGCTAAGCGGAGCGTCGGATTTTGAGATAACCCAGGAGTAGCTTCGGCTGTACACAAACTGGGTCAGGTCGCACCGACCTCAGTGCTGCCACGGCACCGCCGGATCGTGTAAAGCTACGACTCATCATACACCTTCTATTCTCCTGATGGGCCGGCAAGCGTCGTACCCAGCCTTGCTGGCGTTCCAAAGTTGGGTGTGCCATTCGAGTTCCAGTTGACTTTCTGCGCCATGGTGTATCGGTTACCATCACAGGCGCCAGTGCTGGTGGCTGTGGCATGATAGACGTTCCAGATCTCAGTCTCATCAGGGCTGGTGAAGAAACTGTATCCACGTTAGTCCCAAGATCCTCTCCAAAGGCTCATACGAGTTCAGAAGACTCACCCATTGTGCCCAGGGCCGTAGTTGCCATTTGCACTGGTCAAGAACGGACCCGTCTTTGTCCAGCTTCTCTCCAGACCGGGATCTCCACTGCCATCCCAGGTAAGCAGACCAAGGCTGTAATCCGGTGTCCAACAGAAGCTCGCAGAGTAGGCAAGATACGTTTTCCCTCCATGATACATCGCCGCTGGACCTTCCATCACGGGACTTCCGTTTTGCTCCCAGGACTGGGTAGGTCGAGAAAGGACCCTCGTTGCGCCAATTCTGCCAGGTGCAGTGAGAGGTGCGATGCAAAGCGATTGGAGGTTGTCAGACATGCAGGACCAGGTGAAGTAGTTGCCCCAGGTCGCGAAGCGAACAAGGGAGCCGTCAATGCCCCAGGTTGTAGTGAGCCGGGCATGGTAGCTGTAACTATCAAAGGGCGTCGCGCCACCTTTATTATGGTCAGTCTTGATGGTCTTGAAATTACGAGTGACATCATGTGCTTACCCTTGAGCACATAAGGACGCTGCAAGTCAAGATTTTCAACGCCGTTGCGGCCAGCTGTGTAGTAGATGTACCAGGCACCATCAAGAAAATGAAGCTCAGGCTATCAGGACAGTCAGTTGTGTTAATGATCTGTCAGATTCTTCTTCCACACGTACCGCCCACATGTTACAGCATCTGTCCGGGTTCGCGTCTGTCCAGACGGTCCTCGTTTCACCAGTCTTTAGTCCACCCAAAGTCCTGGCTCTTGTAATCCTCAAGTCAGTCCAGGTAGTGGTCATCATGTAATAGTAACCACCAGTGTATGCAATATGAGGATCTGATCCATCTCTTGCCTTGAGTGGATTGGTGAAGCTTGCTGCGCTGACCAGCGACGATAGTGCAAGCACGCACGCACTGACCGTCTGTAGAAACCTCATCTTGAAGGCAATTGAACCAGATGAAAATGATGCCCCATGGGGAAGCGATGTCTATAGAGGATTTTATGTCACACATGAGATAGTACTATGACTCGTGACCGGCCAGCAAGCCCAAACACGGCTTGATCGCCGTCGCCTGGAGCTCCAAGCTAGTACGGACATTCGAAGATAATTTTGCCATGGCGGACAATACCAAGAGATATTGATTGAAAAAACCTGGGGTACTTCACGTTACACGGGGTCGGTGCCGAACACACGTAGGCCGATAGCTTCACTGTCGGTGCGGTTGATTATTTACCGTTATGATTGGTGCAAATTAACCTGGTGCTGGTCAATCCCCACATCGGGGAACTCGCCGCCTAAACACTCGCTACCTAACATCTAGGATCTAGACGAACATACTGTACAGCCCTGGCAAGGCCGGAAATTGTTGTAATGTTAGAGCAAGGCACGAAAGGCCACGGAATCTCAGGTACCCGACCGCACCGGTATGGTCGCCTGTGTAGGATGTAGGTAAAGTGCAATGGGAAAGCTATGGGATACCATGGAGGCATGAAATTCGGAAATATTATTCATTCATCATTCAGGCCGGGGGAATACCGGTACCTACCGTATACCTAATTCAACTCCTAACAAACTAGGTCTTATCCATTTACACTTGCGCTCTTGGGCATGCCAATACCGACAGCTGCAGTTGCGCCCGCATCTACTGGGAGGATGGCCCCTGTAATCCACCGCGCGTGATCACTCGCTAGAAAGGTGACGGCACAAGCAGCATCCCATCCGTTGCCCTCCGTCCCAAGAAGACTTCGCTTCTTTCGTGCTTCACGAGCCTCTTCACTCATACCGCCGGCGTACATCATCGGCGTGTATAGCATCTATGTGCAAAGTCAGCGAAGACGTGAACATGGTAGGATGGATACACACCCCTGGGCACACGCAATTCACCCTGATTCCATCAGCAGCGTGGTGTGCAGCCATCGCTCTTGTCATGTTGACCACTGCACCCTTACTTGTGGGATAGAGCAGGTGCGGAGTGCCACCTTTCAACCCAGCAACAGAACCCATATTGACAATGCTGCCTTTGACTTCACCCTCGTTCTTTTGCATAGCTGGTATACAATATTTCGCCATCTGCACCATACTGCTCACGTTGATCTCGAGACCCTTTGTCCAAGCCACCATGTCGACATCAACTGCTGTGCCGGGCGCACCTCCGATGCCCACATTGTTTACCAAGATGTCTACCCTACCAAACTCTTTCAAGGCTGTTTCGACTACAGCCTCGCAGTCCGCACATTTGGTGACGTCGGCTACGCAAGCAATGGCTTTACCGGTACCAGAGTGGGGCTTCGATGCTGACATGTCTGCGGTTTTCTGTGCCCATTCGAGGTTGAGATCCAGACAAACAACATGACAGCCTTCGTCAGCCAGCATGATGGATATGGCGCGACCGTTTCCAATTCCGTCGCCGTGGCATCCTGCTCCTGTGACAATTGCAACCTTGCCTTTCAGGCCGCGAGAAGGTGGTTCGCACGTATTGTTGGCCATTGTAGAAGAATCGCTGGAATATGGATGGTGACGTACTTGATAGTGTCGAATGGGAAATATACCCTAGTGTGAGAGATGGACCGGATTACTAACGAGAACAGAATCTCATTTTGATTGCAGTTTTGCCTTCTACATGGTCAGTATTAGTCTTGCCAATGGTTTGTACATTCACCGTTTCGGCGGATCACTTGCAGAGAGTAACGGCATGCCTTTTTAGGTAAAGCCGATTGGAGAAACTCACCAACTGGGGAAGGCGTGGACATGAACCTCGGCACTGCTACCTTTCATCCTTGAGACACATCCCCGTCGGTACAAGACTCATCCCATTCCAATAGTGTGTAAATCTGACATTCACGAGGATAGCTCAGGTCAATTTGTTTCTATGTCGTGAAGAGGTAGAAAGATAGTCGCACGTACAGATCAGATGGACGTCGATTGGGACCGTCGAATTTCTCTACACAATTGTCATCACTGTAGTTATGGTAATGGAAAAAGTTATTCATTGAGGTGGAGGATTCTCTAGAAGGGAGAATCTGACTATATCACGCCATCACGCTTTCCACGCTAGTCCCAAAACGGGACATAAACAAACCCACCCGTGATTACTACTAGTTAGGCATAGACACTTCCTCTAACACTCCCCTAAAGGGGCTATGCGTCTATATTTAGTAGTCTAAGCATAGAAGTAAACGTAGGTAAAGCTAGTAGCTTTGTGTAGATATTAGTAGTGTTTCCTGCGGAAGTAATATGCTTAATAGCAAACTTATTATCTAGATATTGCTCGCAGATATAATAGAAGTAAATAGCAATATGCTTTAAACAAGTATTAATTTAGTAATCCTAAATTAAGGCTAAAGCTAGTATAGAGTTAGTTATTAGAACAAATTTATAAGAATTCCCTAGTTTATATTTAAGCTCTAGTAATGTACTCTTTGCCTATAGTAGATATAAAGTAGCATAGGAGTAAGCTATGTATTTAGCTTTATATATAGATTTAGCAATATAGGATTAAAGTTTAGAGCTCTATAAGATTATAGATTCTCTAATCTAAAGAATATAACTATTTGTTAATTAAGAATTATCTAGGTCTAAGCTATAGGAAGTATTGCAGAACATTCTTACTAGGATTCTAGATAAAGTTTCTAAATCCACCTTCTTTGTATTAGAGCAAGGGTACTAAAGTTTAAAGTATAGGCTCCCCTAAATATAGTAGAGTACCTAGTAGGCAAGCTTTAGATAAAGATTAGATAGGTTTAAATTAAACTTTAAGAGAGTTAAGACAGCGTAGGCGAGATCTAGGTAAGTTCTAATAACTAAGTAATTAAGGCAACTAATTAATTATTAGTACTCCTTCTAGAGGTTAAGATCCATAGGGGTATCTTTTACTTATCTTAAGATTATAGAGTTTGTATCTAGAGGTGTTTGTTAAGAGTTATATTCTGCTATTCTAAAGCGCCTAAGAACCCTTTAGGTATAGGTAGCTTATAAGATTGTTAGTATGTCCTTATTCCTTATAATCTCTAGTCTAAGGAGATAGTGCACTATTCCTAGATCTTTGCATTTAAATTCTACTAAAATAGTGTCTTTAAAGTATTAGATATTTGTAGTATTTCTAACAAGTAGTAAATTATCTACGTAGATAGTAATAGTAATTAGACTAGAGAACACGCACAGGTTATATGTAGCTTACTTATACCTAGCTAATAAGAGGCGAGTTTTTAAGAGTCTAAACTATTCTCTCCTAGATTATTTTAGACTATATAAGGATTTCTTAAGTATTAAAGATTTTCCTATTTATATATATCCTAGTAGGCACCTTATGTAGAGTTAGAGATCTATAGAAAGGGTAGCATTAAGGTAGGCGGTCTTAAAATTAATTTAGTGAATGTCTAGGTCCTGTTATACTACCTAGTAAAGCAGCAATCTAAGGGTGTTATACCTAATAACTAGTAAATAGGTTTTATAGTAGTCTACACCGTAAACTTAGGAACAACCTTGCGCAACTAATCTAGCTTTATAGCGTAAAATAGATCTATCTAGTGCTATCTTAATATTAAAAACCTAGAGACTATTAATAAGATTTGTAGCTTTAGATAATTTAATAGTTAGCTAAGTTCTATTGTTAAGATAGGATTAAAGCTCCTGTTTAATAGCCTTTTTCTAGTC